GATCCGGCTCATCCATGACCTCCGCCGCAGCGGCGCCAATTCCCTGGCGAGAATCCCAGAGTGGGTGGTGTTGCCCAGGCTTTACGACGCCGCGCAGCCCCGCAGGATGGCTGGGTGCGCTGCCCTGCGCCGCGACTGGCTGGCCTTCCTAGTCATGGATTTCACGGACGCCATCAAGCAGCTCCGCACTGGAGGAACGCTACCTCTGCGGGGCGGCGGGCGTTAGCAGCAAGTGGGGCTTCTCCCAGTACCGCACGGTGTATGGGCACATCTCGGGGCCGCTGTGGGGCAGGGATGCAGCGGCGTCGATGCGGGCGTCTGCGGCCGTGGTGCCCGCTCCGGAATCAGATTTGCAGCGTTGCGTCGACGATCTGTTGGTCTCATCGTCGGTAGGCCAGAGGAGCGCTCGCTGGCCGTCTCGACGCTGCTCCTCGCGCGGGCGCGGGCGAAGGACAATTACGGCGAGTCGGCCACGCGGCTCGGCGCGGATGCGACATGCGCCTTGAAGGGCGACTGCGCCCACGCCGCCCTCATCGCCATAGCAGAGGACCGGGCCGAGAAGCGCCTCGGCGGGGCCCGGCGCCTTGTCGCGCAACTGCCGATCCATCGCCGCGACCTGACGGCGTTCGCGGGGCCGGCGTCTGGCGCGGGCTCCGTCGCTCCAGCCCTCCGAGGTTTCGCCCAGATAACCCGGGCTGCAGCGTCGGCTCCGCCGGCGGCCGGCGAGGTCGGCAGAGATCGCCCTTCGGCGCGAAATGGTCTTTCGGACTTTACTTCGGATCATTCGCTTCTCCTGCCGAGGGCCTTTTACGTCGACGATCGCTGCGCCGGCAGCGCGCGGTTCTCCCGCGACGGCGGCAAGCGCTACCATTGTTTTTGCTATGTCGTTTGGGACGCCAGCGGCGACATCGCCACGGGCGTCCTCTCAAGGAGGATCCAGGCTCCCAGCCGCTATCGGAGGCCGACGCCCTCCTGCTGACAATCACCACATGGGCCATGCTCATCGACGATGCCGACGGCCAGTTGGGGCCCCGCGGCGATGCTTTCGGCGCCCCGCAGAGCGTCGCGTGCAGGAAGGCGAGGCATCGGCTCCCCAATGCCATCGCCATCGAGGCGCAACTGGAGCTCCGGGCCAGCATTGGAGACCTGACAGCCGCCCACTACCGGTCACAGGATAGCGACGTGGCCGACGACCTTTCCAGGGCGGGCGAAGATTCCGCCATCCCGTAGGACCGTCAAGGCACTGTGCCCTCGCGGCCAGTCCGCCGCCAGCCTCGGGCATTCCTCGGGGGCGGTCGCCCTGGAGGTCGCGCCCAGGGGCATCGTCGCTAGCATGGCAGCGCTGGCGCGGGGGAGGATCGCGCTGTGGGTGTCGCTCCAGGTGCAGGCGCACGGGCATTTTAGGCTGCCGGCGGGCAGCATGGGCATTCGGCGAGCGCTGCTGGAGTTTGGCTTCGCGTCTGCAGTGGCCTTGGTATCGCTCGGACGTGCGCATTTTTTCTCGACGAGGACCCTGGAGGAACATCTTGGATCATCGGGCAAACAAAAGCACGCACGAAACCCAAACATGCACAGGGAGTGGACGTCCGAGCGATGGCAAGCCCTGGCGCTGGATGGAATGATTCAGCAGCGAGGGGCATGGTAGTTCTCGTCGCCGCCCTGGGCATGGTCGCGCCCCGAATTCCGGCCGCGCTGCGCGCACCGGCCGGCTCTCCCTCCCGCCCCTCTGCTGGTTGGCAGGGCGCCTCGCCCGTTTCATGGTGTTGCCGCGTGGGGTTGGTCGGGCCCGCGTGGATCGGCCGTGCTGCGCGAGCCAGCCTTTCCCCCTCCCACCTCCCCCTGCTGGTCGGCGGGGCGCCCGTGCCCTTTTGCCTCGAGCATCGGGCGGCGCCCGATCCAGCAGCCGCAGCCGATTTGCATGCCTCCTGCATGCCTTCTGGGCCTGGCCATGATACCTGCGGCCACCGCGAGGCATCGCGCATCAGTCAAGGCCCTGGCCGTGCCGGCGCAGGCGGGGGGGCAGTGATGACGGCGGCGAGGATCGCGCGATGGCGCCAGGTTCCGCCCTCGGGCGGGCGTGCGCCAGGGCTGCTGTGACGGCGGTTGAAGTGCGAGTTCGCAGAGCCGAGCTGGAGGGCGCTTGCGAGGGCCCGGCAGCTGGCCGGCCTGGTGTCGCGTCTCGCTAGCAGGCGCCCGCGCTCGCCAGGGCGAATTTGGAATAACTTGTGAAGAGGTACTGGGCGGGAGCCTTTGTTGTTGTTGTAGTTCGTGGTCCAACAACCCAGTCCGGTCCAAGTTTTCCATAATCAAAAAATGCGCGAGCACCGGAGGGTGGCATCAACAATACTTATTTAGAAATGAGAATTCAACAAGCAGAGTCCGCGCCGCGAAGTCCCATTTCAGTCACGCACCCAGGGACCGTGAATGACCGTTCGCCCCCCTCAGTCTGATCATTGCTGTGCACTGCCAGCAGTGCCTGCTCATTGGCTGCTCGCTCTTGCCCAGCGCTGCTGGGCTGATCCAAAAAATTGTGTCCTTGTTGTTCAGTGCTGCTGCTCATTGCTGTGCACGGCTGGTCATTGATGTTCATTGCGTGTTCCTTGATGACAGACCTGCTCAATGCTGACCACTAATGCCCACTGTTCGTTGCCGAACCTTCGCCTTGGTATCCGGCGAGGAGACGACGACGCCGACGACCAACGACCGACCACCGACCGACTTTCCTCTCCCCCGACGACGACGACGAATACGACGGCGATGACGACGACGATGACCAAAACCACGACGCGGATCACGAGAAGAAACACATGAGGAGGAGGAAGAGGAGGAGGAGGAGGAGGAGGAGGAGGAGGAGTAGGAGGAGGAGAAGGAGGAGGAGGAGTGGGGGGCGAGGTGGCGGGTGGTCCACCTTGAAACACAAGCAGAGGAGAGTCCACGAGTACCTTTGAAGGGTGCCATGGGGGATGGTGATGGCGGTGGTAGTGGTGTTTGCGGGGGGCTAACAAAAGAACAAACAATAATCGAGGATTTGGGCGATCCCGTTTTTTTGTTGTATTATTTGTTGGTGCCCTCCCTCAAAGGCAAAACAGAAGGAATCGGTGTCATAACCTCCACGGAGGGATTCGAGCCCCGTCCCTCCCCCACTCCCTCCCCAGGCTACACGTGGCGCGCTCGCCTTGACACTGGGACCCTTGAACCACTCCGATTACTGTACGACTAGTACTTGAGTGCCACTGGTACTAGCAGTTCTGTCGTCGACGCTATTCCGAAGTAACTGGTTTGAGTTGTTTGTCTTCTTCGTTGTTTGTCGGAGTTGGTTTGTGTGGGTCGAGTGGTGTCGCTTGCGTTCGATGACGCTGGTAAGTGCACAGGCATGTGATGTTCTACTCTGGTTCTTCTTGAAGACAGGCTTAGTGGTAATCAACCTGCACCACAGTAGAACAAGCTATTGCAGTAACTGCAAATGTGCGAATGAAATATTAGCGCAACTACTTGTACAGCACTGCTGCATTACATTTGCAAACTGGGCTCTAGCGCTTTCTCTCCTCTGGTTGCGCCAGGGGGAGGTTCAACCCCGCGCGCGAGCACCCCCCGGCTTAGAGTTAGTTCCTCTTCCGAAGTTTTGAGAATGATGAGGAAACCCCGTGCTCGAACCCCTCGCCAGGGATTTTTCTTTCCGCGGGAACCTGACCCCTCGGGCTCTCCGGCGCGCCTCAGAAGTTATTTCTTTCCGGATGGGCCCCCACGGGTCCTACGGTTGAGTCGTCCGGGTGATTTGTTTTAGCCCTCCATTTCCGCCTTCTCTTCTTTGCCCGTTGTGTTCAATCGCCAGGCCCCCGCGAAGGTTGCATAGCGGCTGCATCTGCTTTCCCACGTGGCTCTCAGAGCTAGCAAGTAGAAGGGGGTGTTTGCAAGTAGTACCCCCCTCCCCCCCGAGGTTCTGCGAAAGTAAGATCAAGGGATCTTGAACTGGATGGGTGAGAGCGATCGGGCTTCTCCTCCCCTCCATCCCTTGTCCCTCCCTCTCCCCCTGTTCCTCCCTCCCTCCTCCCTGTTCCCTGCTCCCTGTTCCCTCTCCTCCCTCTCCTCCTCCTCCTCCTTGCTCCCTGCTCCTCCCTGTTCCATCCTCCCTCTCCCCCTGTTCCTCCCCCCCTCCTCCCTCTCCTCCTCTTCCCCCTACCCCTCCTCCCTGTTCCCTGCTCCTCCCCCCCCTCCCCTTCCCCCTCCTTCACCTCGGAGCCCCCGTGCCGCTTGGCCGCCCCCCGGACCACCACCCTAGAGTCCCCCGGCTTCGTTCTGCTGGCAGGCTTCTGCATGTTTCAGGGGTGGTCAGACCTTCGGCCACGCGCAGAGGGGGGCAGGGGGAGTGGGGAAGGCTTCTTAGAAGCACCCCTGCTTCTTAGAAGGCGCGGTCCTTATGTATAGATGTAAGGCCGCCGCCTTCTAAGAAGCAGCCTCCTTCTAAGAAGCCTTCCCCCCTCCCTCCACCCCCTTTTGCGCGCCGCCAAGACCTCCTACCCTGACGCGTCGAATCGTGAATTGGCCGTTTTCGGTTCGCGAGCGGGCGTCGCGGCCGTCACTTTTGCGGGTGCAGGTCCGTCGGTTTCGGTCCTGGGCCGTGGTCACTGAAGGGACGTTTACCAAAGGGGAGGTTTGTCCACCGCCGAATGGTTTGCGTGAGCGTCCCTCCTCCTCCACCCTCCGCGGCCGCGCTCCGCCTGGATCCCCCCCTCTTGCCGCCCGACGCGTGGTGCCTTCCACAGCCCAGCTCGCTAGAGCGCGCGTGCGCATCGCCTGAAGCCGCGCTGCGGCGTGGGAAGTATCTCTGAGCGTGTGCGCGATTACGTCGGAGCCGCCGCCAATGCTGCCGCATCTGCCAATCGCCGCCCGCGCTCGCGAGGGGTGGCGGTGCCGCGCATTTCGTTGCCAGCTTTGCATCTCTTTCGTCGGTGCTATCTTCGCCCTCGCCATGTCAATAGCCACTGTCCTTGGTCGCCGTCATCTTGGCCCAAGCCCGTGCTCGGAAAGCCTACCTGGCTTCCTTTGGCAGCAGGAGCGCACTATTCACAACTTTTCGGCGTAACTACACCTACTAAACAATGGAAGCTCCTGGGGGTGCCGGCACCACCCTGGCCACCCTCGGCGGCCATGGCGAGGCCATCCTCTTGACGATCGTGACTCTGGTGGTGCTGCGCGTCGAATTGGTCCGGCGCTACGGCGACGTGGGCGCCGGCCCACTCGAGGTTGGAGGAGGAGGAGGAGGAGGAGGAGGAGGAGGTTGAGGAGGAGGAAGCAGAAGAAGAAGAAGAAGAAGGCGAGGTGGGAGAATCAGCAAAAACAGAGCAGGAGGTGGGAGGAGGAGGTGGAGGCGGAGTGGGAGTTTTATGCCCTCGAGGCTGGAAGGTACACCCAGAACTTCAAACATTTCATGAAGCAGTACGCTCCCGAGGTTGCGGGCCTCGTGGCGATCCTAACACTGGCGGCCGCGCTCAGGGCGCGGGGAGACAAGGTCTGGAGCATGACCTGGTCGTCCTCCTCCGCATGGTCGTCGTCTTCCCTCTCCTCTTTCTGTCCTTTCCCCCCATCGTCCTCCTCCATCCACTCATCCGCCTCAACATCGTCCTCCCCCTCCTCTTCCTCGTTGTCCTCGGCCTCCCCTCGTCCTCCTCCTCCTCCTCCTCCTCCTCCTCCTCCTGCTCCTCCTGATCGTCCTCCTCCTCATCCTCCTGTTCCCCCTCTTCGCCCTCCCCCTCATCTTCGTCCTCCCACTTCCCTTCTCCCTCTCCCCTCCTCGCTGGACGTCGTCCAGACTGCTTCCTTCGCTCGCGCGAAGGCCTCGGAGAACACCGCGGGGTGGGCCGAGATCAAGGCTCGTGGGCGAACCCAAAACGTCCGACAATTGTCGGGGGCACCCTCGACGCACAACTGTGCAATCCCTTCTTATTATCCTCCTCCTCCTCCTCCTCCTCCTCCTTCTCTCCTCCTCCTCCTCCTCCTCATCATCATCATCATCGTTTTCCTCATCCTCAGCCTCCTTATCCTCCTCATCATCAACAACAACATCATCATCATCATCATCATCATCATCATCATCATCATTTTCTTCTTCATCATCACCATCATCATCATCATCATCATCATCATCATCATCATCATCATCATCATTGTCATCCTCATCATCCTCATCATCCTCATCAGCATCATCAGCACCATTATCATCAACGTCATCCTCATCCTCAGCCTCCTCGTCATCATCATCATCATCAGAGTCTGCGTCACCATCATCATTATCATCACCAGCATCATCATCACAACCATCATCAGCATCATCATCAGCAGGATCATCAATATCATCATCAGCATCATCATCGTCATAGTCATCGTCTTCGCCATGGCCATCGCCCTCGTCATCATCATCGTTATCATCATCGTTATCATCATCATCGTTATCATCAGCATCACAATCACCATCATCATCAGCATCATCATCGTCATCATCATCGATATCATCAACAACAAGAGCATAATCATCCCTCTTCCCCTTCGGATCATCCTAGGAATATGTCTGTTAGTCCTCCTCCCCCTCTCATTGCCTCCTCCTCCTCCGCCGCCTGCTCTTGCTGTTTCACCGCCTGCTCCTCCTCCTCCTCCTCCCCCTCGCTCCCCCATCCTACTCTTCATCGCCTGCCGCCCAGCCTTGTTGAGGACGCAGGGGGAAGGTGGGGAGATGAGGGAGGGACGGAGAAGAGGATATAGGCCCCATCGGCGATGACATACCAGCGATGGAGGCGAGCGACAGGTCAAAAGATCTGGAAAACTATGTCTAACCACGCTCGACCCGACCGATCGAAATCAGGCACCACATCCCGAGCCGGCCTTGAACAATTGGCGGGTACATCCTTCCACGCCTTTTCCTCAAGAGAAAGGTGTGGGGAGGAAGAGGGGTCAAGGAGGGTGGGAGGGCAGGTGATAGGACGGGGGGCGGGAGGAAAGGGAGGCCAGGGGAGAGAGGACGAGAGGTGACGGGGGGACGAAAGGGAAAGGGCATCGTATTCTGGCAAACCTCCTGGACTGACGAGCCCCACCGCCTTGTGCTAGTCCTCCTCCTCCTCCTCCTCCTTCCGATGATCCTCCCCGTTATCCGCCCCCCCCCTGGCGGAAGGAGCAGTGGCCCATGCTGATGGGCGCGGACACTCTGCTTGCGCTGCAGGCCATGCTCAGATTCACGCTCCTCGTCTCGACCATCCTCCGCGCCCCTGGCGGCCCAGTGCCGCTGTCTGGCGACCCAGGGGGAATAATGGATGGCACTCTTGCTCCCTGCTGCCGGTGCATCCCCTTTCCGTACGCTTCACTCGTTCTCGTAGCGCCCACAAGTGCGTCGGCGAGGCCTTATTCCTTTTCCGTTTCCCTCCCCCTCCTCTTTTGGTATCTCGCGGACGTGCCTTTTTTCTCGGCGGGGATTCTTAAGGAGCATCCTGTAGCATCTTGCGAAAAAACCACGCACGGAACCGAAAAAAACAGGGAATGGACGTCCGAGCGACGGGGAGTAGCCAACTCCCACTGATGGCACCCCGAAGCGTGTCGGTAGGGCTGGCCAGGCGCGGCGCTGCACACCACCTCGCCACTTGTGCTCTTGACGTCTGACAGCTGCAGCAGCTTCAACGAAAATGGAGGGGGGGACTTTCAAAATGCGCCCCTCGCTCAGCGGCGCTGCGCACATCTCGTCTTCAAAATTTGCAACAGCTTCGCGGATGGACGGGAGGCGGTTTTCAAAATGGAGTTCTCGCTTACGCGCCGTGCACATTCGCGTTGAAAGGTTGTGCAGCAATTTCAGGATGAAGGAGGCGTTTTCAAAATGGAGCCTTCGCCTCAGCGCAGCGCACATCCGTCTCAATACGTTGATAATGTTCGAAGCTGGAGGCTGGTTCCTCTTCAAACTGGGTCTCGTGCCTTAGCGCCGCGCACACTCGGTCTTTAAAGCTTGTAACCTGCTCAATGGTGGAGGACGGTTCTTTTTCAAAATGGGACTCTCGCCTTGGCGCCGCGCGCATTCGTTTTAAAAGTGTGCAGCTGTTTCCGTAATGGAGGGTGGTTCCTTTTCAACATTGGATTCCGCCCCAGCGCCGCGCACATTCAGCGAAACAACTGCGAACACTTGCAGGGATTGCGGGCGTTTCCTTTTCAAAATTGGGCTTTCGCTGGTCAGGTTTTCAAAACCAGGAAATTGCGCACATGCAACAGCTGTACGGAGAAAGGGCGGCTCCTTTTCAACATCGGGCGTTCGCTCGAGATTCCTTCAAATTGAACGACGACGGATGGAGGGCGGGTTCAAAGTTGGGCTTTCGCTTGAGACTTCCTCGACGCCCATGGCCAGAAGTGAACACTTGCGCAAGAGAACACAGAGGGGGCGGCATTTTGCCCATGCGGGGATCTCGCTCGAGACCTCCTTGAACTCTATGGAGCATACCTTCGCGCGTTCTTTGCTTCGCCGTTCGGAAGATGCAGGGCAGTTCCTGGCTGCTTCCAGACGGGACCCGCCCGACCGGCAGGCCTACAGGGCACTAGTCTTTCTTAAGCAGGCGCTTCTTGGGGACGTGCGGGGACTTCTGAGAAGGGGGCACTGGCACGGGAGGGTATACTGCAGCATCGTTGAGGCACCTTGGGTAAGCCTGGTCCTGCTCCTCTTCCGCCTCCTCCTCCTCCTCGTCCTCCTCCTCCTCCTCGGCCTCCTCCTCGGCGTCCTCCTCCACCTCCTCCTCATCCTTCCCCTCTCCATCATCATCCTCCGTTTTCCCGTCCTCCTCCCACTGCGCCGTGATAAAAGATAGCCCGTTTTTTGACAGGCTGGCGCAGCGTTGGCCGGAGACGCCCCGTTCGTCGCGTGGAGCTTGGTACAACGTGACGGCTAGTGGAGTTGTGCCAGCGGGGGCTCGGCAACTTGGGGCTTGCCTCTCCCATTGAAATTGTATGAGGCTTCACGGAACGGCCGGTCAGAAATGGCAAACCACGTGGAAATTCTCGCTCTCTAAAAAAGATTCGAGCCAGGTTCGAAAGTCGGTTCAAAACCATCGAGTCTTTTTGAAACAATAGATAAGTGAGCGTTTCGCGCGGGATTTCTCCGACAGGACGATTCGAGCTAGGTTCGAGCTCGGTTCGAAACAATAGAGCAGTTAGCGTTTCGTGCGGGATGTCCTCGAAAAGATGATTTGAAGCCCGGTTCGAAGTCGGTCCGAAACAATGGGAAAGCAAGCGTTTCTTGATGGATTTTCTCGACAAGATAGCTTGGAACCCGCTTCGAAGTCGGTTCGAAACAACATGAAAGCGAGCGTTTCGCGCAGGTCGTCTGTGAACATATGATTTGGAATTTGGTTCCGCACAAGGTCGAAACGGTCGGAACAAGAGCACCCGCAAATACAAAATTGGGCCAAATTTTGGTCACGCCCACGGGCAATATCAGACCGTTGTTTGGCAGTGAAGACCTCGTTCATTGCGTCGTCGTTCCATCGCGCTTTCAGTAAACATACTGGCTCAATCCATACCGACGGGCGCTGACTTGTGGCACCGCCAGTCATGTGAGAACTATGCGAACTGCACAAAAAAACATGTAGAGCCAAGACCCATGTTACGTCCTTGCACGTGCGGGACATCCTCGAGAAGATGATTTGGAGCCCGGTTCGAAGTCGGTTCGAAACAATCGTAAAGCGAGCGTTTGGTGTGGAGTTTCCTCGAGCAGATGCCTTGGAACCAGATTCGATTCGGTTCGAAACAGTCGGAAAGCGAGCGTTTCGCGCAAGTCGTCTGTGAACATATGATTTGGCACTTGGTTCCGCACAATATTGAAACCAGCGAAACAAGAGCACCGAAAATACAAAACAAACGTTGATCACGCCCAGGTTTTCTCCCTCCCTCGCTCCCCCACACCCCCTCGCCTTGCTCTTTGGGCGGGCCGGAATGGAAGCGCGAGGGCCTCGGGCGAGGGCTCCAGAGGGGAGGAGGAGGAGGAGGAGGAGGAGGAGGAGGAGGAGGAGGACCAGTGCAAACCTAAGACTCATCAGGGATGTTGTAATAAACCCTCCCGACAAGTTCCTTCTTCATAGGTCCCAACAAGGTTCGTTTTTGATTGAGAGAAGTGCCCCGTTTGAGGACAACGGCTTGAAACCTGAACCGTGCCAGAACATCATGCTTGGTGCTTGGTACTGCAACTCCGCGAATCAAAGTTACTGCTACGTCCTGACGGTCCTGAATCGTGCCAGGACAGCGTTCCTGGGATTTTAACGACACAGCGAATCAACGTAAGTGTTACGCCTTGACAGTCCTACAGCGTGCCCAAACGCCATGTCTCTGGCGCCAACCAGAAGAATCCTTACAACTGCTGTGAACTCTTAAGACGAAGGTGCGCGGCACTAAGGTGGAAACCACATGTTGAAAAGGTACCGCCCTCCATCCGCGAAGTTCTTGCAAACTTTCAGGCGGCGCTAAGGCGAGAGCCACAGTTTGAACATCGCCCGCCCTACGTCCGTGAAGCTCTTGCAGCGTGTTCAGACAGATGTGCGCGGCGCTACGGCGAGAGCCACATGTTGAAAATTGCCCGCCCTCCATCTGTGAAGCTGTTGCAGATTCGCAGCTTAAGGATCATAAGTGGTTGGGAAGTCTCAGGCTAAACGCCTGGCCCGCCCTACCGACACGTCTCGGGGTGCGGCACGGAGGTTTATACGGAAAGGGATGGCGGAGGAGGAGGAGGAGGACGAGGAGGAGGAGGAGGAGGGCAACAGGGGGAGGGGGAGGAGTAAGGAAGGAGGAGGAGGAGGAGGAAGAGCAGGAGGAGGAGGAGGAGTAGGAGGAGGAGAAAGAGGAGCAGGAGCAGGAGGAGCAGGAAGAGGATGAGGCGGCAGAGGAGGAGGAGAAGGAGGAGGAGGAGGAGGAGGAGGAGGAGGAGGAAGGGGAGGAGGGGGATAAGGGATAAGGGATAAGGAGCGGCCGTGGCCACCACCGCGGCTGGCCTTGACGGCCACGACCACCACCAACGACCGTGACAGTCTGTGACCACGACCGCCATGGGCACTTCGACTCCTGCGGCCACCTTCACGACCACCACGACCGCCAGCAGCATCACCGCCACGACCACCGCAAGCTTGGCGCTCAACCACCACCAGCACGACCACGACCCGCACTACCACCTACCAAGCCACCACGACCACCAGCACGGCGCCCGACCACCTGCTCGCCCAGCCCGACCCCCACAACGACCACCACGCCTGCCAGCACGACTACCACGTCCACCGTCGGCCCGACCACCACGAGCCCCGCGACGACCACAGCGCCCGCCAGCGCGACCACCCCGACCGCCCCCGCCCTCCGCTCCCCTTTCCTTCCCGCTCCCCTGCCCCTGCAAGGCCGCCCCTGCTTGCGCTTCTCATTGCAATCTGGCATCGGTGCTGCATATTGAAATATCAGTAGTTAACACTTAGATCACACAGTCAGGCCAGGAGCTCTACGGGGCCATTCCTCAAACCGGCAGGTTGCTGGCGAGGTACCAGGGGCCATGACCCCGACATCCCCTTGGAGACGGGGGCGAGGACCCGCTCGTGTTCCTGCGCCCTGGCTGCCGCTGTCCTTTTTCCTCCTCCCCCCGTTTCACCGGCAGCGCGGCGCGCAACCGGGAGAGGGGTCTAGCGCCGACCCAGGAGGGGTCCGCGCGGACCCCCGTTTGACAGGTGGACTGTTCGGGACTACCTACCCCCTTGCTGCTGCTGCTGGCCCACCTCTGTCCCTTCTCTCCTTCGGCGTGGAGGAGGAGGACAGAAGGGCAAGGAGGAGGAGGAATAGGAGGAGGAGGAGGAGGAGGAGGAGGAGGGCCTCAGGCGAGGGCCGCTCTCCTCCTGCAGGAGACCCCGCCGCGCTGTGGTTCTGCGGCGCCGCCGCTCGCGTGGCGCTTCTCGCGCGGACCTTCGGGCCAAACCACGAGCTCGTCGTCGTATTCTCCCCTTGGAGGCGAAGGAGAAAACAATGACGAGGAAGAACAGGCGGAGGAGGAGAAGAAGACAAGGACGAAGAAGAGGAGGAGGAGGAAGAGGAGGAGGAGGGGGGGCAGTAGGAGAAACAGGAGGATAACAATACAAGGAGGACAAAACAAGGACAAGGACGAGAAGGCACGGGCGATGATGATGACGATACTCGTGATGGTTTTGTTGGTGATGCTGATGGTGATTATGCTGCTGATGATGCTGATGCTGTAGATGATGATGCTGATGCCGAGACTGATGATGGTGATAATGATGATGTTGGTGACGATGATGATGATGATGGTGACAGTGATGGTATGGTGATGGTGATGGTGATGAGGATGATGGTATTGGTGGTGATGATGTTGATGCTGGTGATGATGCTGCTAATGAGGATTAGGATGATGATGATTATGAAGAGGAGGAGGAGCAGCAGGCGGAGGAGAAGGACGCTGCTGCTGCTGATGATGATAAGGATACTGATGTTGCTGAAAATGACGGTACTGCTGATGATGGTGTTGTTGATGTTGATGTTGACGACGTTGTTGACGATGTTGTTGATGATGCTGATGGCGATGACGATGACGATGACGATGACGATGACGATGATGATGACGACGATGATGATAATGATAATGATGATGATGATGGTGATGGTGATGGTGATGAAGATGAGGCTGCTGAAGATGATGATGATGATGCTGGAAATGATGATGATGATCATCATGATGGTGATGACGATACCGATTATTATGTTGATGATGATTGTGATGATGCTGTTGATGATGATGATGGTGGTGATGGTGATGGTGATGACGATGATGGTGGTGATGATGATGGTAGTGAGATGGTAATGAGGAAGAGGAAGAGGAGGAGGAAGGGGAAGTGGGTTAGGAAGGGGACTGGGAAGAGGAAGAGGAACATCAAGAGGAATACGTACGAAGAGGAGGTCGAGGAGGCGGGGGAGGGGGAAGGAGGTTGCAGAGGAGCAAGATGCTGCAAAAACGAACACGAGGAGAATTACGACGAGGAAGCAAGGACGAGGCGGAGGAGGGTAAGGAATATCTTCCCCTTCTCCTCCTCCTTCTGTTCCTCCTCCTCGCATGCTTCCGCCTGGTCCTCGTCCTTCGCTTCGTCGTCGTCCTCGTCTTCCTCGCATGATCCTTCCTCACTTCAATCGTTACCCGCCCTCCTCCGCCTCCTCCTCCACCTCATCATCCCCTTCCGCATATTCATCCTCATCGTCATCATCCTCTTCGTGCTCGTTCTCCTCCGCGTCCTCATCCTCCTCCTCTCCTTCTCTCCCTCCCCCTCCTCATTTTTCTCCCGTCTTCCTTACCCTCGTCCTACTCATGATGATGATGATGCTGATGATGATGATGATGATGCTGATGATGATGATGATGATGATGGTAGTGATGTTGATGATGATGATGCTGATGGTAATGCTGGTGGTGGTGATGGTGATGAGGATGGTGGTGATGGTGGTAGTGATGCTGAGATTGATGCGGATGATGATGATGCTGATGTTGCTGTTGCTGTTGCTGATGATGATGATGATGATGGTGATGATGATGATGATGATGACGGTGTTGTTGATGATGATGGTGATGATGATGCTGATTGTGATGATGATGATGATGATCGTCATCATCAGCAGCATCATCACCACCACCACTAGCAGCATTATCAGCATCGCCATCATCATCACCAGCATCATCATCATCAGCAGCGTCATCAGCATTGGCATCCTCATCGGCAACCTCCTCATCGTCATTAGCATCAGCATCATCACATTAACAGCAACAACAACAACAAGCACATCAACGTGTTCATCATCCTACTGGAAGTAATCCTCCTCATCATCGATTTGCTCTTCTCCATCGTCATCAGCAGCATCATCATCCCTCGTCAGTCCCCTCCACCTCGTCCTCTCCGCTCCCCCTCCCCCAACGACAGCCACTCATCATATTCACCCCTCTTCTCGCTGCCATGTTCCACATCCGCCATAGTGCGTTTCTCCAGATCATTATTTCGCCCTCCTCTTGCTCAGGCTACTCATCCTCCGCCTCTCCCTCTGCGTCGACGTCGTCCTCCTCGTCCTGCTCCTCCTCCTCCTCCTTTGTATTCCCGCCAATCTCATAATCATACTATTATTCCTGGTCCTCCGCATCCTGCTCATCCTCACCCTGCCATCCTGCTCCTCCTCGCCCTCCCTCATCCCGCCCATACCGTCCCGTTCCTGCCAGGACCCCATGCTACATGCTGGATGGCCCTCTGGGCGGATCGATCGCGGCAGCCTGGGCCCCAACCCCCAAGGTTGACAGCAAACGGCAGGGGGCGAGGAGGAGGAGGAGGAGGAGGAGGAGTTAGGGTTGGTGGTTGCTGGGGAGGGGGAGGAAGAGGAGCAGGAGGAGGGAAAGGAGCAAGAGGAGGAGGAGGAGGTAGAGGCTATTCCCCACAGGCCCTCTGCCTAATTCACTGTTTGGAGCTATGCCTAAGTCGGACTGTTTTGCAATACGAGCGGAACAGCTACGATGCTCATGTTCGCCTGACGCAGAACGGAGCTGGAAGAGGGGACGTCACCCAAATTGTCGTCTTCGCCCTCCTGCCCTGATTTCTGCCTCCTCGTTGGGCTCTTCCCCCTTTACGGTCGGGAACTTTGGGTTAGCGCGTCGCTCCGCCGGTTCTGGCCCACCACGCTTCGGCGCGACACGCTAGCCACGTCGCGGTCCCCATGCGTCAAAGCCCCGAGCTTTCCCGCGCCTCCCGCCCCGCGGAGCCGAGCGACACGCTGTCCGCTCGCAGGGCATAGCGTGTCGCCGGGGCCGCCGCAGCGAGACGCCTAGCAAACGTTCCCTATCGCATTTCGGGCGTGTGTGTGTGTGTGTGTGCGTGTGCGTGTGTGTGTGTGTGTGTTGTGTGTGTTGTGTGTGTGTGTTTGTTGTGTGTTGTGTGTGTTGTGTGTGTTGTGTGTTGCGTGTGTGTGTGTGGTGTGTGTGTGTTGTGTCTGTTGTGTCTGTTGTGTCTGTTGTGTGTGTTGTGTGTATGTGTTGTGTGTTGTGTGTGTGTTGTGTGTGTTGTGTGTATTGTGTGTGTGTTGTGTGTGTGTGCGTGTGTGCGTTGTGTGCGTTGTGTGCGTTGTGTGCGTTGTGTGCGTTGTGTGTGGTGTGTGGGGTGTGGTGTGTGGTGTGTGGTGTGTGGTGTGTGGTGTGTGGTGTGTGGTGTGTGGTGTGTGGTGTGTGTGGTGTGCGTGGTGTGTGTGGTGTGTGTATGTGTTGTGTGGTGTGCGTGTGGTGTGTGGTGTGTGGTGTGTGGTGTGTTGTGTGTGTGGTGTGTGTGTGTGGTGTGTGGTGTGTGTGTGTGTGTTGTGTGTTGTGTGTTGTGTGTGCGTGTGTGGTGTATGTGTTGTGTCTGTTGTGTCTGTTGTGTGTGTTGTGTGTGTGTGTTGTGTGTATGTGTTGTGTGTGTGTGTTGTGTGTGTTGTGTGTATTGTGTGTGTTGTGTGTGCGTTGTGTGCGTTGTGTGCGTTGTGTGCGTTGTGTGCGTTGTGTGCGTTGTGTGTGGTGTGTGGTGTGTGGTGTGTGGTGTGTGGTGTGTGTGGTGTGTGTGGTGTGTGTGGTGTGTATGGTGTGTGTATGTGGTGTGTGGTGTGCGTGTGGTGTGTGGTGTGTGGTGTGTGGTGTGTTGTGTGTGTGGTGTGTGTGGTGTGTGGTGTGTGTGTGTGTTGTGTGTTGTGTGTTGTGTGTGTTGTGTGTTGTGAGTGTTGTTTGTTGTGTCTATCGTGTGTGTTGTGTGTGTTGTGTGTATGTGTTGTGTGTGTTGTGTGTTGCGTGTTGTGTGTGTTGTGTTTGTGTGTGCGTGCGTGTGTGTGTGGTGTGTGTGTATGTGTATGTGTGTGTGTGTGCGTGTGTGTGTGTGTGTGCGTGCGTGCGTGTGTGTGTGTATGTGTATGTGTGTGTGTGGTGTGTGTGGTGTGTGTGTTGTGTGTCTTTGTGTCTGTTGTGTCTGTTGTGTGTGTTGTGTGTATGTGTTGTGTGTTGTGTGTGTGTTGTGTGTGTTGTGTGTATTGTGTGTGTTGTGTGTGTGCGTGTGTGGCGTTGTGTGCGTTGTGTGCGTTGTGTGCGTTGTGTGTGGTGTGTGGGGTGTGGTGTGTGTGTGTGTGGTGTGTGGTGTGTGGGTGTGGTGTGTGTGGTGTGTGTGGTGTGTGTGTGTGTGGTGTGTGGTGTGTGTGGTGGTGTGTGTGTGTGTGTGTGTGTGTGTGTGTGTGTTGTGTGTGTGTGTGGTGTGTGTTGTGTCTGTTGTGTCTGTTGTGTGTGTTGTGTGTGTGTGTGTTGTGGTATGTGTTGTGTGTTGTGTGTGTTGTGTGTGTTGTGTGTATTGTGTGTGTGTGTTGTGTGTGTGTGCGTTGTGTGCGTTGTGTGCGTTGTGTGCGTTGTGTGCGTTGGGTGCGTTGTGTGCGTTGTGTGCGTTGTGTGGTGTGTGGTGTGTGGTGTGTGGTGTGTGGTGTGTGGTGTGTGTGGTGTGTGTGGTGTGTGTGGTGTGTGTGGTGTGTGTATGTGGTGTGTGGTGTGCGTGTGGTGTGTGGTGTGTGGTGTGTGGTGTGTTGTGTGTGTGGTGTGTGTGGTGTGTGGTGTGTGTGTTGTGTGTTGTGTGTTGTGTGTGTTGTGTGTTGTGAGTGTTGTTTGTTGTGTCTATCGTGTGTGTTGTGTGTGTGTGTTGTGTGTATGTGTTGTGTGTGTTGTGTGTTGCGTGTTGTGTGTGTTGTGTTTGTGTGTGCGTGCGTGTGTGTGTGTGTGGTGTGTGTATGTGTATGTGTGTGTGTGTGCGTGTGTGTGTGTGTGTGTGCGTGCGTGCGTGTGTGTGTGTGTGTGTCTGTGTATGTGTGTGTGTGTGCATTTCTTCTTGGGGCCCCTTGGCGGCTCCGTGGGCCAGTCTGGCATGCAGGTCGGGGCAATCGTGCGCGCAGGGGCATCGGAGAGCCACGGAAGCGAGCAGGGGGGTAGAGGCAGGCGCACGCCACCTTTGCCCCCCCCCCCCCCTCCCTCGCCTTCCCCCCCCCCCCGCCTCCCCCTTTATCGTCCCCCCAGCCTGTCGGTCTTGATCGACCCCGCAGACCCCGCACTTCGAGCCCCCCCCCCTCTCCGCTCCCCTCCTCCCTTCCCCCCTCGGCCTCGGCCACGCCGTCCATGGCACCCGCGTCGAGGGCAGGGCATCGGGGCCGCGCCCCCTGCACAGTGCAGCAGGCATGCCGCAGCCACCTCCCCCCTCGGGCGTTGCGTGAAATGGTGGGGGCGATAAATCACCGAGCGAGCAGTGGGACGCGCTTGCCGAACAAAGGGGGGGGACGAAAGGCGCACCTCTCGTGCACTGTAGGAGGAGGCGTCCTGCAGGAGCCCCGCACGCACGACGCGAACACGAAACCGAAGCCGATTTTCTGGTGGGGGGCTCCCCGTTCCACTGCGATCTCACCCCCAACCTCCGATCCACTGCGTCTCGAATGTCCAGACCCCCTCCCTCAGAAACCCCAGACGCAGAGGAGATGGGTAAATATCTGGCCTCCAGCGAGGCCAGTTTCATCAATATCCACCGCCTCTGGGTTTTTTGTTGGCATCCCTTCCCCAAAACATCTTAGGCACCGTGATTTCACGTATACGAACAGATACACAAGCACCGCAACACACTCTTTCACACAGAAGCAAATCTTGCCCGCGTAACAGGAGCAGCCAGGAGCAGCCTAGCCGAGGAAATCCCCGGCACCCGTGTGCCGCTTCGGCCGGAAACGGCCGGACAAATTGCCCGATTTGGTCAGTCTCCAGTGGCCAGGCGCACTGGGACCACTGGTGGGGACAGGCGAACCGAGCAGATCCCCAACGCCCCAGGGGAACGGCCAGGAACAGCCTACCCTAACCCTCCACGCCGCCCACCAGTGGCCCTGATTATCCGAAGAGGAACCACGACATAAGCAGAAACTTTCAGAGCTCCGCGCGGTTCTCCTGGACCTGCACTGGGCCCCCCATGGCGGCGCCGCCCCTCGCGGGCTCTGCGCGCCAGGGAGTGGGGTTCAGCGCAGATCCAAGAAGTCAGCGCGGACCTCCGAAAGTGTAATTTTATGCGGCTGTTTCTTCCTCTAAGTGGGCCTGCTCGCTCCTCCTACCTCCCCCCTCCCCCGCCTCTGAGGAGGGGGGGACTCACCCTTACAGCCTGCGCCGCAGGCAGCGTTCGAGGTCGCTGCTCTCCCGGTCCTGTTCGGCGTGAACAAGGGGTTCTTCCGCAGCGCACGGCTGTCCACACTTCTGGCGATCGTGGGCACCGCTGCCTTTGCCCACCGCAACCGCCTGAATTTGGCCAACGACGAGGTCTCCGACAGCACGCCCCTCAGCAATGCCGCCCGCACTGGGCCCATGAGTACACATTGTCGCGAAGAGTCGCGAAGAGGCCTGGAAATCTGCCAGATGTTTCTGAAAGTTGTGGTTGCAGCAACGACGGTATTGCAGGTACCACCGACGACCGTGACAGTGTCTACAATCATGAGGAACATCTTTCGCGTTTCCCCAAAAACGAGGCCAGAGCTTCCATGGCGAGGAGAGTCATTTCAACGAAGACGGCGGCAATGACCGTAACATTGGTGGTGACAGTGACGGGGGCAACCATGCCATCGGGGGGCGCCAATTATCCGCTCACAGCTGTTCTGGCCAGGCCAACCTCGGGCCCAGGGTTGGTGTATCTAGTTCCTGCATCTAATAATAATAAGAAGAAGAAGAACAGTAATCAGAACACGAGTAATAGTAATGATAACAAACATACTAATGTTAATGCTAAGAATAAGAAGAATAAGAATAAGAAGAAGAGGAGGAGGAGGAGGAGGAGCAAGGCTCCCAACTGAGAGCGGTGACGTAGCACGCGCTTACCAGCAAGGCTCCCAAGAGCGAGCGGTGCGCAACAAGCTCTTATCACCAAGGCTCCCGAGCGAGCGGTAACGTAAGCATTTCTGGGCACGAGGGCTCCCAACAGAGAGCGGTACTGCAACAAGCTCATCCCAGCAAGGCTCCCAACAGAGAGCGGCGACGTAACACGCGCTTACCAGCAAGGATCCAAAGAACGAGCGGTGACGCAACAAGCCCTTGACACCAAGGCCAAAGAACGGGCGGTAACGTAAAAGTCTCTGAACTACAGGGCTCCCAACAGAGAGCGGGGGCGCAACTAGTTCTTAACACCAAGGCTCCAAAGAGCGAAGGGTACCATGAGCCATCTCGGCCAAGTGGCTGAAGCGCTCTTTCCGTTTCTGTGCCGGCCCCAGGTGTCACGGCCCGTTGCCATCGCATTTGTTTGAGTGAAGCGGCTCCTCCATGGTTTGTTTCTTCGTATTTTTTCGGATGAACTGGCCAGAGGGCCCCAAGATGGCCCCAGAGGGCCCCAAAACGGCTTCAGAGGGCCCCAAGACGGCCCCAAGAGAGCTTCAGATGGCCTCCAGACGGTCCAAGAGAGTCTCCAGACGGCTCCAGAGGCCCGCACGAGGGCCCCCGAGAGGGCCTCAGGAGGCCAAACACATTGACTGCCCTTAGGTTTTTGCATGTTTGTCGGGTTCTCTCCTTTTCAGTTTCAAAGGGCCCCAGCCGGCGCAAGAGGCCCCAAAGATCGCCCCAAGACGGCCCCAGAGGCGCCCCATAGGGGCCCAAAACAGTCCAAGAGGGCCCCCAGACGGGCCCAAGACAGCCCAAGAGGCCCCAAAGATCGTCCCAAGACGGCCCCAGAGGCCCCCAAACGGGTCCAAAACGGTCCAAGAGGGCCCCCAAGAGAGCCCCACAAGGGCCCCAACCAAGCGGGCCCGAAGAGGCGATATGGGTACCAAAACGGTCCAAAAGGGCCCCCAATAGGTTCCAAAGAAACCCCAGAGACGCTAAGGAACGCCATGGTTCCCCACAGCGAGCGGTGACGCAACAAGCTCTGAACACCAAGGCTCCTCAGTGCGCGGTGACGTAAAGAACTCTCAACACTAAGGCTCCCAGAAGCGAGCGGCAACGTAAAAATCTCTGAACACAAAGGCTCCCAAGAGTGAACGGTAACGTAACAACTCTGAACGCTAAGGCTCCCAAGAGCGAAGGGTGCCGTGAGCCCTCTCGGGCAAGTTCTTGGTCCGCTCTTTCCATTTCCGTGCCGGCCCAGGTGACGGAAAGAGCGAGGTATGAGTGATGACGTTGAGTTGGGGCGAAGTCCTCTAGGGAGGGGTCCAGGGGAAGGGCGAGGCCCGGGCACAATGGTCTAATGGCCCGTTTCTTTAGTATTTGTTCAAGCGAAGCGGCTCCCGGGCGGCTCCCATGGCCCGTTTCTTCATGTCTTTCTGAGTGAAGCGGCCCAAGGGCTCCAAGACAGCCCAAGAGGGCCCCAAGACGGCTCCAAGAGAGCTTCAGATGGTCTCCAGACGGTCCAAGAGAGTCTCCAGACGGCCCCAGAGGCCCTCAAGAGGGCCCCCGAGAGGGCCTCAGGAGGCCCAACACCTTGATTTCCCTAGAGTTTTTCGGGTTCTCCCCTTTTCCGTCCCAGAAAGGCCCCAGACGGCCGAAGAGGCCCCAAAGATCGTCGCAAGACAGCCCCAGAGGCGCCCCAAAGGGGCCCAAAACGGTCCAAGAGGGTTCCCAGACTGCTCAAGACGGCCCAAGAGGCCCCAAAGATCGCCCCAAGACGGCCCCAGAGGCGCCCCAAACGAGCCCAAAACGCTCCAAGAGGGCCCCCCAGACGGGCCCAAGACGGCCCAACAAGCCCAAAAGGCCGTCCCAAGACGGCCCCAGAGGCGCCCCAAAGGGGCCCCAAACGGCCCAGGATGGCCCCCAGACGGCCCAAGAGGGCCCCAATACGGCCACGAGGGCCCCCAGGGCCCTAAGAGCCCAAGGTGGGCCCAATAGGCTCCCAAGCGGGCCCGAAGAGGAGGAGGAGGAGGAGGAGGAGGAGGAGGAGGAGCAGGAGGAGGAGGAGGAGAAGGACGAGGAGGAGGAGGAGGAGGAGGAGGAGGAGGAGGAGTGGAGGAGAGCGAAGAAGGAGAGGAGGAGAAGGAGAGGGAGGAGGTGAGGAGGAGGAGGAGGAGGGGAGGAGAGGGAGGATTAGGAGGAGGAGGAGGAACGAGGACGAGGCAAGGGAGGAGAGGGAGGTAGAAGGAGGAGGGGGAGGAAGGGACGAGAAGAGGAAGAGGGGGAGGATGAGGAGAGGACAGGGAGGAGGAGGAGAAACGAAGAGAGGAGGAGATGAACGAGAACGATGAACAGGAACGATGAACGAGGAACGAGGACGAGGAAGACGAACAAGACGAGGCCAAGGACGAGAAGGAGGACGGGAGGAGACAGAGGCGGAGGAGGAGGAGAGGCCAGGCAGAGGGAGGAGACAGAGGCGGAGGCCGGGCCGAGGCGAGGCGGAGCGAGTTGAGAAAGGGGGTAGAAGGAGAGAAGGATGAGGAGGAGGAGAAGATGAGATGTGACGAGGAGGAGGAGGAGGAGAGGAGGAGGAGAGGAGGAAGGAGGATTGGGAGGAGGAGGGGAGAGGAGGAGGAGAGGAGGAGGAGGGGAGGAGGAGGAAGGAGGGAGGAGGCGGAGGCGGAGGGAGGCGGAGACGGAGGAGGATAACAAGGAGGAGGAGGACAAGGACGATGACGAGGGAGGAGGAGGAGGAGAGGACAGGAGGAGGAGAGGAGGAGGAGGAGGAGGAGAGAAGAGGAGAGGAGGAAAGAGAGGAGAGGAGGACGTGAGGAGGAGAGAGGAAGAGGAGGAAATGAGGAGGAGGAGGAGTAAGGAGAGGAAGGAGGAGGAGGAGGAGGAGGGAGGAGGGAGGAGGGAGGAGGGAGGAGAAGGAGGAGAAGGAGGAGGAGGAGGAGTCAGGAGTCAGGAGGAGGAGGAGGAAAAGACGTAAGAAGCTCTTCACACCCAGGCTCCCAAGCGCGAAGGTGACGTAAAAAGCTCGTCACACCAAGGCTCCCAAGAGGGAGGGGCAACGTAAATATCTCTGAACACCAGGGCTCCCAACAGAGAGTAGTGACGTAACAAGCTCTTCCCATCAAGGCTCCCAAGAGCGAACGGTGACGTGACAAACTCGTGCACACCAAGGCTCCCAAGAGCGAACGGTGACGTACACAACTCTCATCACCAAGGTTCCCAAGAGCGAGCGGCAACGCAAAAGTCTCGGAACACCAAGGCTCCCAAGAGCGAGCGGGGACGTCACAAACTCTTACCAGCAATGCTCCCAAGAGCGAAGGGTGCCATGAGCCCACTCGGGCAGGTTGCTGCAGCGCTCTTTCCGTTCCCGTGCCGGCCCAGGTGACGGAAAGAGCGAGGTACGAGCGAGTGACGTTGCGCAGGGGCGAAGCCCTCCTTAGGGGGAGTGCAGAGGGGGTTGAGGCGGGACTGTTGGGTTGGTGATGGCCCGTTTCTTTTGTATTTTTTCGAGTGAAGCGGCTCCCGGGCGGCTATGGCCCATTTCTTCGTATTTTTTCGGGTGAACGGGCCAGAGGGCCCCGAGACGGCCCAAGAGGGCCCAAGACGGCCCAAGAGGCCCCCAGACGGCCCCAAGAGAGCTCCAAGAGGGCCCCAACCAAGCGGGCCCGAAGAGGCGGTATGGAGTTTGGGCTGCTTGGGTGTAGGGGCTGGGCTGGCCCAAAGACAGCCCAAGAGCCCCAAAACGGTCCAAAAGGGCCCCCAATAGGTTCCCAAGAAACCCTAGAGACGCAAAGGAACAACATGGTTCCCCACAGCGAGCGGTGACGCAACAAGCTCTGAACAACAAGGCTCCCCAGAGCGCGGTGACGTAAACAACTTTCAATTACAACTCCCAGGAGCGAGCGGCAACGTAAAAATCTTTGAACACCGAGGCTTCCGACGGAGAGCGGCGACGTAACAAGCTCTGAACGCCAAGGCTCCCAAGAGCGAAGGGTGCCATGAGCCCTCTCGGGCCAGTTCCTGGTCCGCTCTT